GAAGTGGGCGCTGAATAAGGGGCAGGAACACTTATCCTGGAGGACATGTAAGTGACAGTGTACACCATGAAGCACACCTCTTCAACGGCTATTTGGTAAATAGCATATTCAATTGGGACTGCCGATCGGAAGCGAAGATAAGATCGTGGAAGAACGTCAATTTGGCTACAGTGTCTTGAGAACTTCAATTCCGAAACATCAGTAAATACAGTCTCGAATTTGGGAATTCTCGTCTCGAAAAATATCGCTTAACTCAATAAAAGAAACTTACTAATCAACCATGTGACATGGTCCTTGTCGATGGAAAACTGTTATCATGGCCAAGACTCTGGCAAACAAAAAAGACCAATGGTAATATACTATATGCATGGCTCGTGACTATGGCATACTACCATGGGTAGTTTTTGTTTCTAAGTCTTTCTTGTTTTGAAATATTCGTCCTGATAGGTGTGATGCTTCGAAATTGAAGTTTTTAAGGCGTTCTATCCAAATGGAAGTTCTGCATTCTGCATATTCAAAAGGAAGTAATGCCTCACCTACTACTTCCTACTAGTAATAGCCTCGTCTAGGTTGATGCTTGGTAATAATCTGATTAGTTATGAGTTATGACAATCAGTGACTGTCAGTCACAACTGGATAGTGATATAGACTATTAGGGCCGTAAGCCTTGTGGAAAGCCTCTAATTATTCGATACTTACGTTGAGATCTCCAAGATCTTTGCCGATGTCACGTTGTACTTTTTCTAGGAAGAGCTCAAGTTTTAGTCCATATAGTCGACGGCGAGTAATTGACGTGACAGTATTCCGAATGTTACCTGAGAGGGTCGAGAGTGAGGCAAAGACAACTAGTGAGCGAACCTCCATCCTAGCCAGATCTACCTTTGACATCTGGGTAGCCTGGCTGATCTTTTTTCAGATCTAGCCATGCCAGTGATCCACACCAGATCCACACCAGTCAACAAATTCACGGATGACACATCTGTGAGAAGTCGATCACGATACGATTACAATTTGATTGTAACTAGTGGGTTCCCAATGATAACATCTCGCTCACGCTCGTGATTTTTTTCGGCTTAATTGTTACATACTGGTATCAACCATTAGACCCTCACGGAGGAAGTGATCCTTGACCACTCGAAAAAAGCGGCACTCTCTAGACTCACACGCCAAGCGGGGGCAGCGCGAAGAAATCTAGGGGCAAAAAGTGGAATCTCGGGAGGGGACAAGAGTGAACTCGGGGCAAGGAGAGTAATTTCGTCGCGAGCAAAAATACGAACCTTGAGACGCTTGTCGCACTGCATAGTTGCGTAAACGAAGGTCAATTTATTGAGCTAGGTCAACAAACGCGCGAATGGTTCGTGTTGTGGCTGGGGGGTGTTGGATCGATAAGCATCCAGTTACCATTTAGTTAATGGCGATTTTCCTGAACCGCCCACCCGCATCCAGTTGAAGTTAGTTTGGGAGGCACGAGTAGTCAAACGAGAGTCATCAGCCAAGATACTCTGGCCCAGAGAGCACCGAATTGACTCTCTGCGGCAGATGAGAGAATCCCGTAACCTCGCTGCTACTTATGCGGAGCCAAGCATCCAGCGTTGCAAGTTTTGGAGAGATTTTCGACAGAACTTCTAGGTTGAGACTTTCGGATATCACAAGTTCTTTAGCAACGTATCATGATTCCGCCCCACAGTGGGGCCACAATGGGGCCCCCACTGCGCACTACTCCCAACTAACTAAATGAATATATGTTATTGGACAACAGACATTCAACAATAGAAGGACCTTCCACAACCCCCACTCGTGTTCAAAAACACCTTTCAATCGGACTTCTCATCAGTCCTGTTACAGGACTCCTGTACTCGATGGGTAGTAAACCCCTGCAGATTTGGGCTGAACAAGTCAGGAATGGTCACATCCAACGCCTCACAGATTCGGATATTCAATCAAGTGTAAGTTGATGTGCTCAGGGCAACGGTAGAAATGCCTTCGCGCGAGTTCAACTCGCGCAACGATTCTCTTACCATCGATGGGCTACATCAAAGGGAGTTACAATACTTTCCCTACCATCAGGTAAGTGGGCAATATATGGCAATTTGCAATGACATCCTACCCAGTCGCTCCAACCTAGCCATGCCTTTCTCTTATCTTTTCCACCGACGGTGCCACGGCAGATCCGTGTTCGCGGATGTGTCTGTATGCCAGCAGGAGTAGTAATAATTACTACACCTGCTGACATACGTACAATAACTGAGTAATAAGTCATGGTTCGGGTGAAACTATATGTCATGGCTGAATAATTCGGTCTGCTTTGGTTCGGCAAAGGGGTCGAATGCCTCGATTTGTTCCATGCCAACTGACTCTGACTTTCGGATTCGGGCCTCTAGGCATCATATGGCGTAGACTACCAGTTCCATGAGGACTGAGTATTCTCGAGTATTGTACAGATGTATCCGGAACAATCTCTGAAGGCGGGATGTGCGCATATGTTTGTTTCAACCTGGACCTGCATCGAACCCCATCTTGGGAACAATGATCGAGGAAATTAAACGGGATGATATAGAGTACTCTATGGTGCAATTCATTTTATCGTTACCGTTTCAACTCAAGGAAGCTACCATATCCGGATATACGAGAGAGGAGAGAGAAATCTCACCTTAAGCGCAGGGGCAAGTTGATGTCCGTCAAGTGTTGACTGCTCGTCGCTCGGTTTCGCTTCTGTAATAGACAAGTTATCTCTGTAGTAAAAGTGACTTCACATGTACAGTAGAGCCTCCGAGGCTCAGCCTCGCTGGCCTGCCGCACTGGTGTGACATAGTCTAGTATTATTTCAGTCGCTCTGCTGGCCAGAGATCCCTTCTGTCCCCGGCCGATATCGCCCGAAGCAACCTTTTTGATGAGTCGGTTAAATAACATACAAATGGCCGTCAAGCTCTGCGCTGTCGACTTACAGCTGCCGTTGAGCTGCACTGTATCGAGCATGATGCTCGATACAGTGCGATAAGCTTTACTGAAGACTTGTATATCTCACTGAGATATACAAGTCTTTACTGCGAGATGATGGCGAGTCGCGGAACTGAAGGCTGACTTGCACATCACCGTGGTGGACAGGTGGGCTAAAAATGAAGTTCACAGCCGCAAGCCGACCCTAAACTACTAGCGAGGAAAGTTCGAGGGAAGCTACTGAGGATCACAACAGCCGTGTATTGAAGAGGTTGAAACTCACTCTACTTGGACAATAGAGTGATTCGAATAGGTAGACTTGTGAAGTCGTAAATGAGAACTTTGGAGCTCTACTTTGCGAAGAGTGTTTTTTCACTTCATTGCTGTAGGTGAGCTGCTTATCGCTTCTGGGAGCATATGCTTTGCTGACTCAGCGATGCTGAGTTCTATTGCCGTCTACCCACCACCTTGTATTTCAATTTTAGTTTTATTTCCTCGTCGGTTCTCACGAAGGAGGGACTCTTATAACATTGACCGCAGGCGTTCTGTGGTGGACGTGTGTATAGTGTAGCTACTATTAAGAAGATCTAGTTAAGAGCATGATCAGTGTATTGGT